CTGGTACAGCTGCCTGGTATAACTCACTGGTACAGCTGCCTGGTATAACTCACTGGTACAGCTGCCTGGTATAACTCACTGGTAGGGCAAACTAGCAGCACTGCTGCCGGGGGGAGAGCCAGGGCTAGTAGCAGTCGTGCGCTTGTAACAGAGACACAGGCCGTTCATCTCCCCCGCCAGCGTGAAGCCTTCAGGGGCTATTTTGCTGCTGCTTAACACAATAATGTCCGTCACCACCTGAGGAAATAACTCATTTATGTACAATATAAATAATAATAAAAAATATAACTCAGTACTCACTGCAGTGAGTGAAAGAGAGCGCATTTTCTCGTCGGCGAAAACGTGAAGTCACGGACAAACAGACAGACGGACGGACGGCCTGAGAAATAACTCATTTATGTAAAACAAAAATAATACAAATAAATATAACTCAGTACTCACTGCAGTGAGTGACAGAGAGAGCATTTTCTCGTTGATGGAAACGTGAAGTCACGGACGGACGGACATGGCGAGCACAATAGTGCATTTTTTCCATAAATGAGAAAATGCACTAAAAACAAGATTATCATCACCATGGGCATACAAAGTGACACATATACATAGCATACATTTTTTTTGTCCACCAAAACCATAAATTTAATATAAATCTTGTCTGCTTCATTATTGCCGTTATCATAATGATGCCACCAACCAAAAGAAGCTTTTATAGAATTTTGTTAGAATACAATACAGTAGTAGATGTTGTCTATGGAACAACTGGAAAGGGAACAAAGTCATGCTAGGCAATCAATGTCAAGTTGCAACTTCATTTTGTCTGATGTACAGATGGATAACAACAGTAAACCTGAACAGTAACCAGTCACTGACCACTCACCGCTAGATTATGATTCGATGAGAATTTTTCCACAGTTACGACTTCGTTAGACTGCTCCAGCTAAAAATTTCATTTTTTCCTATACGTATCAGCACTCATCAGTAAAACACACGTTTGATAGTGATCTCCACTTACCAAGTTACCAGGACCAGGACTCAGGAGCTCTAAACCGTGCATCAAAAATTCTAAAAATGTGTTCTTTCCGTTTCCGCTTCTACATTAGACGGAGTATTTCCGCTTGAATCATGGGGTCTTGTTTTTCGCTAAAAAAAATAGTGGTAAACCCTGCTACCGTTAGCCCAGGCCCCAGATTAGTAACATAACGAAAAAAAAATATTTCATCTGTTGAAAAATACGTTTAATTTATTCACATATTTCTAAATTTACAGATGCAATAACGGAGTAGTTGTGGCAATAAATAGACGCCAGTTCGTTGTAGCCTCGGCCCTCGAGACCTAGCCTACCTAGACCTGACTCCGTGTCTCCGCCTGCCTCGGAAAATCAGTCACGCACAGCTCGCAGACAATATACTTCCTCGACCTCAAATCGTAATCACAATATGGAAAATATTGTAACTGTTGTAATCTTAATTGTTGGAGGAGCATTGTTAGCGATAATTGTGTCGGCTATATGTGGAAAAAGAAAACTGCAAAGACATAAAGAATTCAGCCGAAAAGATCCTCATGTTCCAGGTTCAGAAACTCATAAGGTGGGCACATTAAATTGGCAGAATTGTAGATGTAGTACCTGCTGGTAGCCTGAGTGTGAGTGGTAGGTGAATAATTTTTGTAGGCCTAACTATCTAGATTTGTACATGAAGTTTTGCTTTTTTTTTTTTTTTGTAGTAAAGAAGAAATCATTCCACAAAAATTTTCTTGCAATTGACACTTGACTTGACAATTGACATTGTTGACAATTAAGGTACCTACCTATGTAATTTAATGCAAAAGTTGCCATTGATTGAATGCAAATTTAAATTGTTCTTCAATAAAAATGAAATAATATAGTTAACAAATAGGCTAGGCTACATCATGTTGTAGCCTGTAGGTATTTGTATAAATGATGAATTGATTTATTCTTAAAATTCTGGTGAAAATTTTGTGCTGTACGTATTCTATTATTAAGAATGTATATAATTTTTAGTATAGAGTGACAAGTGTAGCTCAATCCATGGCAAATTTGATGGTATAGGCCTAGTAATAGTACCTAAAGACAAAGAGCAGAAGCATTGCTTGTATAATGCTTTAATTATATTTATGAATTTATTTT